AGTTTCTTTCACCCGGAATGCCCCTGTTACCTAGCAGTAAATAGGTACCTGGGAGTTAGTCAGCTGTCACGGGCTACTTCCTGGTGTGTGTGTGTGTGTGTGTGTGTGTGTGTGTGTGTGTGCGTGTGTGTGTGTGTGTGTGTGTGTGTGTGTGTGTGTGTGTGTGTGTGTGTGTGTGTGTGTGTGTGTGTGTGTGTGTGTGTGTGTGTGTGTGTGTGTGTGTGTACTCACCTAGTTGTACTCACCTAGTTGTACTCACCTAGTTGTGTTTGCGGGGGTTGAGCTCTGGCTCTTTGGTCCCGCCTCTCAACCGTCAATCAACAGGTGTACAGATTCCTGAGCCTATCGGGCTCTGTCATATCTACACTTGAAACTGTGTATGGAGTGAGCCTCCACCACATCACCCCCTAATGCATTCCATTTGTCAACCACTCTGACACTAAAAAAGTTCTTTCTAATATCTCTGTGGCTCATTTGGGCACTCAGTTTCCACCTGTGTCCCCTTGTGCGTGTTCCCCTTGTGTTAAATAGACTGTCTTTATCTACCCTATCAATCCCCTTCAGAATCTTGAATGTGGTGATCATGTCCCCCCCTAACTCTTCTGTCTTCCAGCGAAGTGAGGTTTAATTCCCGTAGTCTCTCCTCGTAGCTCATACCTCTCAGCTCGGGTACTAGTCTGGTGGCAAACCTTTGAACCTTTTCCAGTTTAGTCTTATCCTTGACTAGATATGGACTCCATGCTGGGGCTGCATACTCCAGGATTGGCCTGACATATGTGGTATACAAAGTTCTGAATGATTCTTTACACAAGTTTCTGAATGCCGTTCGTATGTTGGCCAGCCTGGCATATGCCGCTGATGTTATCCGCTTGATATGTGCTGCAGGAGACAGGTCTGGCGTGATATCAACCCCCAAGTCTTTTTCCTTCTCTGACTCCTGAAGAATTTCCTCTCCCAGATGATACCTTGTATCTGGCCTCCTGCTCCCTACACCTATCTTCATTACATTACATTTGGTTGGGTTAAACTCTAACAACCATTTGTTCGACCATTCCTTCAGCTTGTCTAGGTCTTCTTGAAGCCTCAAACAGTCCTCTTCTGTTTTAATCCTTCTCATAATTTTAGCATCGTCCGCAAACATTGAGAGAAATGAATCGATACCCTCCGGGAGATCATTTACATATATCAGAAACAAGATAGGACCGAGTACAGAGCCCTGTGGGACTCCACTGGTGACTTCACGCCAATCGGAGGTCTCACCCCTCACCGTAACTATCTGCTTCCTATTGCTTAGATACTCCCTTATCCACTGGAGCACCTTACCAGCTACACCTGCCTGTCTCTCCAGCTTATGTACCAGCCTCTTATGCGGTACTGTGTCAAAGGCTTTCCGACAATCCAAGAAAATGCAGTCCGCCCAGCCCTCTCTTTCTTGCTTAATCTGTGTGTGTGTGTGTGTGTGTGTGTGTGTGTGTGTGTGTGTGTGTGTGTGTGTGTGTGTGTGTGTGTGTGTGTGTGTGTGTGTGTGTGTGGGGGGGGGGGGGGGGGGAAGTTAGTAAACAGTTGATTGACAGTTGAGAGGCGGGCCGAAAGAGCAAAGCTCAACCCCCGCAAACACAACTAGGTGAATACAACCAAGTGAATACACACACCACCCATACACTAGGTACACATCCAGTTTTAATCATTAGCATATCAAACAACCCAATTCCAACATGAAAGCCTGTATCGAAATGTGCTCATAAAAACTCAGCCAATCAAGCTGCCAGTGAATTAAAAGTTATATATAGTTTTGCATTTAAAACATTAATTCAATAATTAATTCCTTATCCCTCTCTCAAAGCCCCTGTAGCTTATATCCATAAATTAGTGTGTTTGTGTGTCTGTTTGTTCAAGGTTGGAGGCCAAACACTTGGAGGCCTCATTCTTTTTTTTTACAGTAATTACTGATGGGTACGTGCCCAACATGGCCGGGTAGGGTTCGGTATCAATCGCTTAGCTGTAAGGCTCCGGCCGATCGACGACGGGGCATGCGTGCAGTCGACAAGTACTCTGACCAGACAAACTGGGACCCGAAAGATGGTGAACTCTGCCTGGCCAGGATGACGCAAGCGAGAGAGAGAGCGAGAGCGAGGGAGAGAGCGAGCTAGGGAGAGAGCGAGCTAGGGAGAGAGAGAGCGAGGGAGAGCGAGAGCTAGGGAGAGTGAGCGAGAGAGGTGGAGGGAGAGGAGACGGGAGAGAGAGGGAGAGAGAAAGAGAGCGCCCTGGGTAAAGATGACCAGCGCCCGAGCCTGGCCAGCATCACCAAGGTGCACGCTCCGTGACCACGCTGATTGAAGTGTAATCAATCAGAGCGCGGGCGGCCGTCTTCAAGATGACCGGTGGGCGCCCCCCGCCAGCCCGGAAAAGAATCCAAGCGAACAGCGGGCACAGGAAGATGGCGCTATAGCAACGCCACAAGACGTACGAGGCCCCAGATGCAGGAAGAAAGAGGCCGAAGATGAGGGCAAGCAACACCTGTCTGAGAGCACCTAAGCTGCCGTGCTGGACTCATGGCTCAGCGTACTTGAGCGCAGGAGGAGGAGGACGCTGCGACAGGAGGACGCTGCGACAGGAGGACGCTGCGACAGGACGAGGCTGCGACAGGAGGACGCTGCGACAGGACGAGGCTGCGACAGGAGGACGCTGCGACAGGACGAGGCTGCGACAGGACGAGGCTGCGACAGGACGAGGAGGCTGCGACAGGAGGACGCTGCGATAGGAGGAGGCTGCGACAGGACGAGGAGGCTGCGACAGGAGGACGCTGCGATAGGAGGAGGAGGCTGCGACAGGAAGAGGAGGCTGCGACAGGAGGACGCTGCGATAGGAGGAGGACGCTGCGATAGGAGGAGGAGGCTGCGACAGGAGGACGCTGCGATAGGAGGAGGACGCTGCGATAGGAGGAGGAGGCTGCGACAGGAGGACGCTGCGATAGGAGGAGGCTGCGACAGGACGAGGAGGCTGCGACAGGAGGACGCTGCGATAGGAGGAGGACGCTGCGATAGGAGGAGGAGGCTGCGACAGGACGAGGAGGCTGCGACAGGAGGAGGAGGCTGCGACAGGAGGAGGAGGCTGCGACAGGAGGACGCTGCGATAGGAGGAGGACGCTGCGATAGGAGGAGGACGCTGCGATAGGAGGAGGAGGCTGCGACAGGAGCGCGTAGCTCTGGTTGCGAGAGACACGAAACTGCAGTATTCACGCACCAGGAGATGACCAAGTGACCACAGATGCCCGAGGCCTGACACATGTAGTCGCCGCTACAGATGCTGTCCACCTCGTGAGCTACTAACGCCCGTGTCTCCCCCCCCCCCCTCCTCCCCAGTATCTATAGTTCTCACCTCATTCTCCCCACCAATTCCCCCCCCCCCCTTATCTCCCCAACCATTCTTCCCCACCCAATCTCCCTCCCCAACGTCCAGCCCCCACCCCATCACACGCTCCCATGCCTCAATGACCACTGGCCAGGAAGTTAAGAAGTGCGCTGATGGAATCCCAAAATCTCGCTTCTGTGGGGGGTGCCTCTTAGGTCACTTTCCTTGGGGGGGGTGCCTCTTAGGTCACTTTCCTTGGGGGGGGGTGCCTCTTAGGTCACTTTCCTTGGGGGGGGGGGGTGCCTCTTAGGTCACTTTCCTTGGGGGGGGGTGCCTCTTAGGTCACTTTCCTTGGGGGGGGGTGCCTCTTAGGTCACTTTCCTTGGGGGGGGGGGGTGCCTCTTAGGTCACTTCCTTTGGGGGGGGGGGGTGCCTCTTAGGTCACTTAACTTGGGTATGGGGTGCGCGCGCACACACACACAGGATGGCAATCACTTCGAAGTGACTAACACACACACGCAGTTGATTGACAGTTGAGAGGCGGGACCAAAGAGCCAAAGCTCAACCCCCGCAAGCACAATTAGGTAAGTACACACACACACACACACACGGGGGGGGGGCCTGATAGCTGAGTGGAGAGCGCTCTGGACTCGTAATCCTAGGGTCCGGGTTCGATCCCCGGTGATGGCTGAAGCAAAATGGGCAGAGTTTCTTTCACCCTGACGCCCCCTGTTATCTAGCAGTAAATAGGTACCTTGGAGTTAGACAGCTGTTACGGAGCTGCTTCCTGGGTGTGTGTGTGTGGGGGGGGGGAATAAAAATCAGTTGATTGATTGACGGTTGAGAGGCGGGACCAAAGAGCCAGAGCTCAACCCCCGCAAGCACAACTAGGTGAATACACACACACAATGAGACAATGAGAGAGAAACAATCCGTTGATTGAAGGTTGAGAGGCAGTGTCGGCGTTCAATCCCCGATGGTCCACAAGGCTTGGCCCTTTAACCGCACATATCCCAATTCTTTATTCCCCCCCCCCAGTGCCACAAAGTAATGAGGCTTAGCGCTTTCTCCTCATAATTAACTTACATAATAAGCGAGACACATCGGCTTAAGTTCCGCAGTTAATCCTTAAGTTACAAAGGCATCCAAACAGCTACTGATATTCACCAATGAAGATTACGGGGCTATTCATGCCCGTGCCGCCTCTTGGGGCGGCTTGAGCTTCACCAATCACCAACAAAGAGCTTTCAGCCCCGCTCCTGTGCCAGGTAAGTCCATCACGGGCTCACCATAGCCCGTGCTACTTGCCCCGCTCCTGTGCCAGGTAAGTCCATCACGGGCTCACCATAGCCCGTGCTACTTGCCCCGCTCCTGTGCCAGGTAAGTCCATCACGGGCTCACCATAGCCCGTGCTACTTGCCCCGCTCCTGTGCCAGGTAAGTCCATCACGGGCTCACCATAGCCCGTGCTACTTGCCCCGCTCCTGTGCCAGGTAAGTCCATCACGGGCTCACCATAGCCCGGGCTACTTGCCCCGCTCCTGTGCCAGGTAAGTCCACTACGGGCTCACCATAGCCCGTGCTACTTGCAACTTGTAGTTCCCAGTAGCTGAACCTTAAACAACAACAGTAGTAGTAGTAGAGGACATACCTGGTGGTTGACGTTGGCAACGGAGGGCCCCTGGTGCAGGAGGGCCTTCACCACCTCGCTGTGGCCCGCCCACGCCGCCAGATGCAGGGGCGTCGACCCCTTGCCGTCCTGCACATTGCACGACGCCTCGTGGGCCAGCAGCAGCGACACCACGTCCCTGAGGCCACACACAACACTACAGTTACTCACCGCTCGCTAGCCTAGCTACATAAAGTTACTATCCTAGAAACATGGTTCGCTAGCCTAGCTACATAAAGTTACTATCCTAGAAACATGGTTCGCTAGCCTAGCTACATAAAGTTACTATCCTAGAAACATGGTTCGCTAGCCTAGCTACATAAAGTTACTATCCTAGAAACATGGCTCGCTAGCCTAGCTACATAAGTCACTAGCCTAGCTACATAAGTCACTAGCCTAGCTACCTAAGTCACTATCCTAGAAACATGGCTCGCTAGCCTAGCTACATAAGTCACTATCCTAGAAACATGGCTCGCTAGCCTAGCTACATAAGTCACTATCCTAGAAACATGGCTCGCTAGCCTAGCTACATAAGTCACTATCCTAGAAACATGGCTCGCTAGCCTAGCTACATAAGTCACTATCCTAGAAACATGGCTCGCTAGCCTAGCTACATAAGTCACTATCCTAGAAACATGGCTCGCTAGCCTAGCTACATAAGTCACTATCCTAGAAACATGGCTCGCTAGCCTAGCTACATAAGTTACTATCCTAGAAACATGGCTCGCTAGCCTAGCTACATAAGTCACTATCCTAGCTACACAAGTCACTAGCCTAGCTACACAAGTCACTATCCTAGCTACATAAGTCACTATCCTAGAAACATGGCTCGCTAGCCTAGCTAGACACAAGTCACTATCCTGGTTACATAGTTCACTATCAACTACACCCACGTTAGAAGAGATCAACTCATCCATGTTGGGTTGTAATTTTTGCATCTTATGATAATTCCCTTACGAAATTTAGACTTAAAAAGTTTAATTCTTTAAATGAGTTATATAAATCATTACAGCTGTGGCAATTTAGACTTACAACTTAGGTCTAGAACTGACGAACGAACTCTGCAATTAGCTAGTCGAGCTAATTCCCGTGGCACCTGCATCTTGTGCTAATTCCCGTGGCACCTGCATCTTGTGCTAATTCCCGTGGCACCTGCATCTTGTGCTAATTCCCGTGGCACCTGCATCTTGTGCTAATTCGCGTGGCACCTGCATCTTGTGCTAATTCGCGTGGCACCTGCATCTTGTGCTAATTCCCGTGGCACCTGCATCTTGTGCTAATTCCCATCTTATCTCAATCTTAAGTTCACAAATTTATCGCAAACATCTGTATAGCACTAAGTAATTGGCTTTACATCTATGTATAGTGGTAACTAATTACTATTACACCGATGAGCACTGCTTATTTCTTTTACACTTACACCTTGAGCTAATTTCCCCTTACTCCTCCTCCTTGAGCAAATTAATTCCCCCATACATCTACGTATCACGCAAATTAATTCGCTGCATTTATGTCTTCAACTAATTCCTTTCCCAATTGCACTATGGCCTAACTCATTCGCCTTGCAATTAAATCTAGCATATACAAGTGTGGCTAAGAGTGAGTAAGCGTTACGGGCTATTCATGCCCGTGCCACCTATTGGTTAGCTTAATCTTCATCAATCAATCAGAGTAAGTGATTCAGTATTAGAGCAGACAGGAAGCCTCGGGGAATTTCATCGACAAAACACACACACAATGTCTACTACGGGCTCACCATAGCCCGTGCTACTTGGAACCTCTTGTTCCGAGTAGCTGAATCTATAACCACACCACTACCACCTCGACAAAATACAATGTATCAACAAAACAAATCTACAAGGGCCGCGATGAGGCTTCTCCGAAGCCTCATCTAGCTTCAGGCTAGCGAAATCCCAGCTTCGGAATCCTAGTGAGGGCAGTAGCACCCCAGGTTGGAGGTCTTTTAACCATATGGCGTGGCGGCACAATTGGCTAAGGCGCAGCTGGAAACATCCCCTGCATAGGTTCGAACCCTCATCACGGCCCTTGTGGATTTGTTTATTTGATATAGCAGGCTATTGTGATTTCTGGATGTATACAATGTATCATACTTGAGTACTCCCTAGGGGGGGTAGAAATAGCCTAAGCTACTCCCTTTGAGATGTATTTTTTCTTGTCTCAATAAACATAACTTGAACTTGACCAGACCACACACTAGAAGGTGAAGGGACGACGACGTTTCCACTTGTGAATGGTCCAGGACGGACCGAAACATCGTCGTCCCTTCACCTTCCAGTGTGTGGTCTGGTCAACATACGTCAGCCACGTTATTGTGACTCATCGCCTGCATACTTCAACTTGAGTACTCACTTGTGACCGTTGAGGGCAGCATGATGGAGCGCCGTATATCCACTGTTGTCCTGGACGTTAGCTCCTGGACCTCGGCGCAAACTGTCATACACAAAGAAATTAGAAAGAATTTGTCCATTGTCAGAGTAAATAGGCAGTGATGTGGTGGAGGCTGACTCCATACATCGTTTCAAGTGTAGATATGATAAGAGCCCAGTAGGCTCAGGAATCTGTACACCAGTTCAGTTCGTCCTCCAAAAACGGGGGTGGTAAATGTAAGAAGACAAATAAGTGCAATTATGTACTATTCATAGCAGTTAGGAACTGTACTTATTTTCACTTAGTATTAAATCGTACTGTCAAATATATCGTGAATATTTGAGTTTACCCGAGAAACTGAATAGAAAACCACAACCTCACTTAACCGTCTTAGTTTTTTGAAGATAATAATTTTATTGCTTCTTAATTACAATTAGTACTTAACCTATAGCTATATTGATATTACAGTTTTATAAAACTAATAAAACAAAACTAAAATATATCAATAAATTGTAAAGTAACTCAGGATATTTTAAAATTTTGTATAAAATCTATATTGTTTAATAAACCTGAAAAAGAAATTTCTGATATTTAAAACTTGTGTATTGCTAATTGACATTGAAAACTTAATTCTGAGTGTCTTAACAGAAAATGAGAATTAAATCGGGGGAGGGAGTTGGGTAAATGTAACAGCCCCATAAGTGCAATTATGCACTGTTTATGACAGTAAGAAAGTGTACTTATTACACTTAGTAGTAAATCGTACTGTCAATTCGTTGGATGGGTTGGCCTAGTGGGCGCAGAGGGACCGCAAAGAACCGACCACACACTGTGGTCATGGTGGTGAATCAGTGCAACACCGCTTCACTGTTTTAGGCAAGTTTAACTGTTGAGTTCATCCATTGTCGGCATTACTCGAGGGGATACCAATCAAAAGTAATTACAAGTGTGTGTACATTATCTATTTTAGCTCGTGTACAGTTACGAGCTAAAAATTGATAACAAGAGCGAAAATTGCCAGATCATTGCAACATTAACACAGTTCACAGTTACACACACAATTACCACTGAGGTTAAACGGTACAAATGTTGTTAAAAACATCGGACATAACCATACTGAAGCCGAGCTATGAGTCATAAATACTCGTCAAAAGCCTGAGATAGAAATAAGAGGTATTGAGACAGCCAGAGACTTAGGGCCTGAGCAGAAATATCCCTAAAAAAAAAAAGATAGCAGTAGTTTGGAGGCGGGTGTGTTCCTAGTGAGTAAAACCTACAACAGAAATCACGTGACTATTTTGTGTGTGCGTGTGTGTTTAGAATACGGGCTCACCATAGCCTGTGCTGCTTGGAACTTTTTGTTCCAAGTAGCGAATCTTAAACAACATATTATGTGTGTGTGCGCAAGATGGGAGTTAGTCACTGTGTTGTGACGCATAGCTGAGGCCTTGACTCACCTGCTGGTGCTCTACTTGTTATTGGAGTGGTAGGTGTTTGTGGGGGTTTGTGGCTCACCTAATTGGGTTTGTGGGGGTTTGTGTCTCACCTAATTGGGTTTGTGGGGGTTTGTGTCTCACCTAATTGGGTTTGTGGGGGTTTGTGTCTCACCTAATTGGGTTTGTGGGGGTTTGTGTCTCACCTAATTGGGTTTGTGGGGTTTGTGTCTCACCTAATTGGGTTTGTGGGGGTTTGTGGCTCACCTAATTGGGTTTGTGGGGGTTTGTGGCTCACCTAATTGGGTTTGTGGGGGTTTGTGTCTCACCTAATTGGGTTTGTGGGGGTTTGTGTCTCACCTAATTGGGTTTGTGGGGGTTTGTGTCTCACCTAATTGGGTTTGTGGGGGTTTGTCTCTCACCTAATTGGGTTTGTGGGGGTGTGGTTGACCTTAAGCTCTTTGGTCCCACCTCTCACACCAAGTCGACGGATGTTAAAGTTGTTCCCGAGTTATTTTGAAGCAATGTAGAGAGTATGCGTTCAACACTTAGCAATTTCCATTTGTTCGCTAATCTGACACAGGAAAAGAAATCTGCCTGTCTAATTTAGATATTTAGTTTTTGCGTTTCCTTGTTCGTGTACCACCAATTACAAATAGTTTTCTGTGTAATAGTCTTCTGAAGGCATTACCTGGCTTCTCTTCCCCATTGAGAAGTTTGTATGTGGTGATCATGTCTCCCCCTGACTGCTTTCTCTTCCAATAATGTGAAATTTGATTCCTTTAGTCCTTGTAGCTCATACCACTTGGTTCTTGGACCTCAATAGCGGCATTCCTCCTAACTTTCTTCAGCGTCGTTTTGTGTTTAATAAAAACTGTACACTTGTGCCTCATTTTCCAGTCTGATGTGGTTTATATGCAAGGTCCCTGAATGACGCCTTGTTGCTATCTGAAGGCACGTGGACTTTGCGTGGGGGAGCCTGTGTGGGCTTCGGAAAACTAGTTTTTTTTTTAACTTGAGGGAGTCGCAGTCCACGACCCCGGGTTCGATTCCCGGCCTAAGCAGAAACAAATGGGTAGAGTTTCTCTCACTTGATGCCTCTGTTTATGTGGTAGTAAATAGGTACTTGGGAGTCGGTTGTTGCGGGATGTAGCCTAGTGACGTGTGTACGAGAGTGAAATATATGTAGTGGATATGATAGAGAAGATAAAGGCTGGCATCAATACATTAGACAACCGAGGGTTAGAAAGTCGGGGTCCAAGAGCTAACAGCTCGATCCTGCAGGCACAAATAGTAAATAACCAAACATGGCTATGCTCCCCCCGGAACACCTCCCCCACGCCCCCCCTCCCTCTATTCTTCCTTCAATTTTCTCGTGGTGTGAATCAGTTAATTGTGTGTTTAGTAGTTAATGTTCCTTTGCGAATGTGTAGCGTTCCGTTGTTGTTCGTTCCGCGGAATGCCCTTACAACGTCCTCAAATGAAATCCACTCACAAAAGTGACGTTCTGTTCCGTTTTCTATTTGAGTCGTCCGGCGTACGCGCAGAGGTTATAAGAAGACACTTTAAATTCACGTTTTTCATAACGTTTTGAAACTTTATGAGAATTTCCTGCCCACCTAACCTATCAGAGGACCCTTAACTTACTGTTGTTGAAAAAAAAAATCCCAAATTTATTTTCATATTTTTTTCAATTTCAAATTACGTCCAAATTCGGCCATACTGGCAAACGGCCAAAAGCGACGTTCTTTTTAAGAGGACAGGTTGGCCCTTACACCGTCCTTGTTTACTGCTCTTCTCTCCTCTCCTGCTTCCTTCTCATTATTATTGTACTAGAGGATGATTTGTCTGCCATCCGGAGCGATTCCTAGTGTGTGTGTGTGTGTGTGTGTGTGTGTGTGTGTGTGTGTGTGTGTGTGTGTGTGTGTGTGTGTGTGTGTGTGTGTGTGTGTGTGTGTGTGCGTGTGCGTGTGTGTGTGTTCCTAGACTCTGACTCGTGAAGTATAGAAGGTTCGCAATTATTTTGTAACCATGAGGCTTGTGTATCAAATTAGGCAGCAGGGTGGCTGAGGAGGCCTGGGCTAACGCCCTCAAGGCGTTCCCTTCCCATTTGGTGATTATGTCCGGGCTCTTAGATTAGCTGCTGTTTGGCCCCTGGTGGCATGATTGGCACTCTGTTGTTGGTGGTGATAAGGGAGAAGACAGTGTTAGTTCAGCTCTGGGCATGAGGCTATAGGACGGAAGGAGGGGGGGGGGGATGGGTGGGAATTTTGTGCTTCCCTATGTGTGCACAGGTCCCCATACAGTGCACACACACAGGTAGCTGCTGGCTTGGGTCCCATCTCACAGGTGCAACGCTTGCAGTAGGGCGGTGTTTGCACCACAGGTGGAATGCATTAGGCAGAGATGTGGTGGAGGCTGACTCCATACACAGTTTTAAATGTAGATATGATAGAGCCCAGTAGGCTTAGGAATCTGTACACCAGATAATTGATAATTGAGAGGCGGGTCCAAAGAGCCAAAGCTCAACCCCCGCAGGCACAATTAGGTGAGTACTGGCTGGTTCAATGTTCCATACTGGGAGAAGTCCGAGTAGCTCAACCCCCGCAAGCACAACTAGGTGAGTACACACACCCAGAAAGCACGTAACTGCCTTTAATATATATATATATATATATATATATATATATATATATATATATATATATATATATATATATATATATATATATATATATAAACTATTGAATCAGTTCAGAATATTTCTGTACTAATAAAAATCGCCTTAAGTATATACATTTTAATTGTTTAGATAAATTACAAATCATATATGTAATTAAATCTGAGAGAGGAAGCCAGACATTTTTAATAGACTTTAGAAAAGTAACCTACTTCCTGGGCAGGGAACACGGCATTCCCGTAATAGGAAAGTGGTATATGTCTCCCATCAACCCGTCCTCAGACCCAAGTCCATTCCACCCAGAGGTCGACCACAAAGACGCATTCGACAATTTTAACATGATGTGCATTCAAAATAAAAAATTTCGAAAATATAAATGATTATAGTTATATATTAGTATACTGTGCATATTTAGGCACTGGTTAGGTTAGATGTTTAGGTTCTGTTGGCGATTATTTGTATTTGTAGTAAGCGGGTGAAGCATTTATAGCGTTGTGGTTCGAACACAAGTCGTCAGCGAAGTATTCGGACTCCATCAGTTGTGAGTCGTGTGTAAACCGTTGTTCATTCATAAACAGGGGGGGTTTAGCGGGTGCATGGAATGGACTTTGGCCCTTGTTTATGAGGACGGGCTGCACTAGGCTACACTAGCTGCTTCCTTTCAACACAAACACCCTAAGAGGAGCCTGCGTGTCCAACCCGTTCTCTCACTTGCTTTTAGTCAATATTGGCTTATTTAATAAGTGCATATGTCACATACTAATTGATTGTGAATATTTTAGTGTTAAGCATCTTATTGCTTCTTATTTACAATTATTACTTAACCTATCAATGATATAGGTTAATAATTGTAATTAAGAAGCATGAGAAGAGCGTGAGAAGCATAATTAAGAAGCATAAGAGAGCGTGTCATGGAACACGCTCTCTGATTACAGCTGTCATAAGGCACT